TCTCCAACCACCAGTCAGAGAAGAACAGACAGAGAGGAGGGAAACAGAGACACAGACAGCGGAAAAGTCTCCCTTTGACAGTTATGAATATTTATAATGCAGTAATACAGTACAATATTAATATATTAAAATATGCTTCTTATCATTATTGTACTTACAATGTAGGAACCTAGTCTGAAATATGTAATATAGTACCTTTAGATGTAATATGTACATGAACAGATTTGTCTCATTATTTGGTAAGAAACTGGACAGTTTTGTCTCTTTCTCGTTTATTATTATTATTTATTAATTTATTATTTATTTATTAATGATTTATAAAGTGTTTACAGATGAATTAATAACCTATCTATAAACTCTTTATAAGCCATATATAAGGGGAGCCTTATTGTAAAGTGGTACCAAAGTTATTCATCTAAGGAAGCCAGTGCGTCACATTCCCAGTCCGCCAGTCTGAGCAGCACACTGATGACAGCAGAAAGAAACCACTCCCCATTAACAGGAAGAACCCTCCAGCAGAGCTCACCTGTCTGGTCGTAGCCTCCCACTCAGAACGTAGACAGATGAAAACAAATGTTGTAAACATGGTGAACATGTATGTCTGAGGCCTGTAATGACAGAAGGCTTGTGTTTTTCAGCTGCGGCTGTGTTTGATTGTCAGCATGATCTCTGCCGTTCTGGCAGTCCTTGCTGTGATCATCTACTCTGTGGACCTGGACAGATATAAAGAGACCTGTGAGGAGACGAGTGAAGGATGTGATAACAGATACTACTCCATGGTTGGTGTCAGTTCTTTAATCAGCTCTTTCTCTACAGTACTGATTGTTGCTGTTAGTGTCATCTCTTTCTGTAGTCTATACATGTTTCCATTGTGGATTTATTGTTTCATGACAACAGTAAACATTTTGACAACGTTTTGTGTTTTCTTCATCTTTGGAAACAGAAGCTGAGCAGAGGAATAAAGTCGTCCCTCCTCATCTTCACTCTGGCCCAGACAGCCATCTCTGTTGTCATCTCCTTCCTCCTCTTCAGACAGAGACACATCTTTGAACATTATGTTGTAAGAATTCATTTTTATTTGGAGAAGCAGCATTTCATTCATCCATCTATCTAAGAATGCACCAATATCACTTTTTATGTGAAACAAATACCAATAGTGACCAGTGGTGGGCACCAGTCCGCTAAAGCGCAAATCCTGTAATTGCTGACCTAAATATTTTGTTTGCGCTTTAGAGGTCTTACTAATTATTATAATTCATAAACAGATTTGCGCTTTCTAAAATTAAAATGCAGTACCACTAATAACTAATTATC